TGCAGAACAGAGGAGGTCGAATCTGGAAAGTTCGTCAGAAAGTGCGAGAAAACAGAAGAGCTTCTCAGGAATTGCATCGGAAAGTAATACTCTTTTCTGTCATCCTCTTGGTCACTTATTATGAATATTTTTTTAATGATTTTTTACTATAGTCTCAGATGTAAGGACGTAGGAATTATGATTGATTAGGTGTTAGGAAGAGCTTTGCTTTGAAAGTGAAAACCGTGAATCAGGAAAGGGGTTTTGATAGGTAGATTACTCACGTGGTGATAGATGCGCGGGGACATTCTTGGGCTTATAATCGGCTTATAGAAAATCTATTCAAACTATTTGATGCTTTCGCAGTGATGTGTATCTAAGATTGCGGTTGCGAAAACTTCTCGTGTTGTCTCTCATCTTGCACTACAAGTGAAAAAGCCTCGTGATGGGTAAAATAGGATCCTTGAAGAGGATTGGCCTCTGATATGTGGAATAGAGTCATTCAAACCCATCAAGAATTTCATGACATACTCCATATGAGTATATTCCAGCCAAGGTTGAATACGTCCACAGTAGCATGAGTGGGCAGGTTTTGTATTCACCTACCCCCTCTGATTAAGACTAAATTTTGCAAAATGCTGAGAGCACTAGCTCACAAAGAGAATTCACTGTTCGAGATTCACCAGTGCACACTTTAATTGAAAAATTCGTGGACCATTTTGTACTTGGAATCTCACTTCCACGCCAAAAATAATTCGGTAGAGGGTGAATATATCATAATTTATGTGATATCGTTTGAAATGGATTTGAAGAGCCAAGAAGCAGCAATGCTATTATATAGTTGCCAAGAAAGAAGTGTATTGTCTTTAATCGATATAAATAATACTAATGACCATTCTTTGCCCCACATCATCATATCCTACTTCTCTCGGACTTATTTCTTATCATCTATCTGCATTAATGCAAAACCAGGTGAAAAATAGCTTTGTATAGTAAATGGGTTGTAGGTGGGTGAGACATGCGATGTAATGATCATACTGGTTTTTAAAATCTAGTTTGTGTAGTCTTTTTAAGCTTAAATTAGATTGAATAGTTTTTATATCATGCGATAAACCAGAGATATTAGGTGAGTTTGCACACTCACAAGCACACAGAGGAGCAGAAGTGCTTATGCTTTAATTGATTTCAGTTTGTACTATTTGGGCATTGTATTATTTGGGAATATTACTCTCGAAGTCTCTTCAAAAGGAGACCGAAACTTTTATCTTATTTTTACCTTCACACTTTGCAGGCCTGTTGAAGTATTGCAATCTAACAAAGAGTATACCGAAGAGGATATAACAGACGAGGTACTTAAAGGAAGGTCTGTTCCATCTAGCTCATCAGACCATGGTGTGTTTGACTTCCCAGGGCTACGAAATGATATCGAAGTCATGGAACGTAACCTTTTCCATGGTCTTGGTCGTTTCCTGGAATCAGCTGAAGAAATGACGAATGGCTTTTTTGATGTTTTTGGTAAGTCTCCAAGGATCTTCGATGCAGAGTCGTCTTCACCCTCTGTGAGGCGAGAGATCCCTGTTGCAAGTCGCCCAGAAGCGTATCCTAAAACCCAGCAGAAGGAATCAGGAGATACTGATTATGTTTCTGTCGCTCAAGATGTTTAAACTTTGAACATCGACATCTGGACCACAACCAAGTCCTGTAATAACATTTTTCTCTGCATCTTTGGAGCTGTTTAACTTCTTTTATTTTGTTTTAAGCTGTGACACATGTAACGTATGACCAATTTTTTATCTTTTCACTCAAATATAGCCCATACGAATGAAAACAAATCCAGTTTTAGACAAAGTTATGAATGTTAAAATAAAATTGGTAATTAAAGAATAACTTTCCAATTAGATAAATACTTAAATGTTGTAAGGTTCTGTTTGATTTGAATGGGGAAATGAGTTATTGACCAAAAGGTGTAGGTAGTACTATATGTGTAATAGTGCCAATTTAAATCATTCTATTCGATGGTTATAATTTTAAAGTAATCATTTTGAATGTTATCTAAATGAAATTCATTGCTTTAAAATCAATTTAAGTTAAATATTTTCCAACGTAATTAACATATTATATATTTTTAATTAAAAATATTTCACACTAAAATATGTCCGAGATTAAATTTAATGTAATTCAAACACATTATTTGATTTCATTGACTCGTGCAACAAGATCGATCCCTCGAAGTGGAAGTGGCTTTGCTTTCATCACATCATTGACGCCATTTTTGTGTCTTGCAGACGAAGAGTAGAACTAGAACTCCGAAGACTAAGACCATAACAAAATTGCGAATGGAGACCTCTGAGAAAAACACATTCAGAAGTTGGGTTGGTCTATAATGGAAGTTAGTGCGGCACCAATTTATCCTCTTTCTTGTAAAAAATTTGTTCATTAACCTTTTTCTTTTTCTGTTAATCAAATTAAACTGTTCACTATTCTTGCGAAATCCTCTTCCTTTACCTTTTTATCTGTTAATCAAACTGCTACTTTTTTAAGCCACTGTTTCTAGAAATGGAAGTATTCAACTATGAGTTCATTATTTGTTTTCAATGTTGATTTAATCACCAAATTAAATATATGAAGTCTACTCTACTTAATAATGCTGAATGGGTCACTTGCACAAGTAGATCAGATGGATTTGTCAAACTCTCTATCACTACTATATTTGAATTCATCAAATTGAACAATGAGGACCAAGTAAATGTTTTACATTTTTTTAACAACTGATAACTATTACACATATTGTATGACTATAAAGAAATGTGAAAATTCTGAAACTTATAAATTAAAACGGGAAGATTTAATTAACAAAGACGATTTTATACATTGATCATAAAAATATTGAAATAACAAGTATAGGCAATTAAAATTTTATACTAAGATATTAAAAAATAATTCAATTAATAAAACACTTTTAACAGTAGTAACATGTAAATATTGAGTGTTTAATGTTATGTAAAGAAAAATCAATTTAATTAAAGAAATTAAAACCCATCGACAGAAAATTAAGAAAAATAAAAATATTCTTTAGTTGAATAATCCATGAAAAAATATTTTGGCATCAGAATTTAAAAGTCTTTTGATACCAAGCAAGAAAGACTTTGAAAAATATATTCAAAAGTTATCCCATTTTTAAGAATGAAAACTTAAAACGTATTATTACACAAGGGTGATTATTGTAATCATGCTTGATAGCATATGATGTTTTGTATTAAAATTCCAGTCCAGCTAATTACATAGTTATTATCTCTTAATAAAATACTGTGTGTCTATAAGCTTCTAAACTTATCTGTACAAACAAAGAAAAAGACACTTAAATAATAAAGAGGAATTATTTTTTCTTCCGGTTATGTTAAATGCTAAAATCTTTTTAATTTTAAAATAAATATCTCTTTTATGCGTTTTAGTGAAATGACACTCACATATCTTATCATTTTTAAACATACAATCACATTTTTTTTTCATGTTTTTAATAATTAATACTTACTTATCTCATGTTTCAATAGAATAAAACTTACTCTCTTAATTTATTTTTAAATATTTTTAATTTACACTTTAAAAATGATTTGATTTTTATATTTTAAAATTTTAGAATTTTTAAATTTCATTTAAACTTTAGTTAATATGATATTTTTAGAAAAAATAAAACATTTATTTTAAGATTAGGAAAAAAATTAATGTTTTAACATAACTTCTGATAAAATAACTGCAATTTCTCCTAATAATAATATTGACTTAAATGAAAAGAAGAAGAAGAAGAACACATTAAAAGACAAGATTACCGGCTATGGCCGGAGGATTGGAGCCTTCCCGTGAAGCACCCCTATTAGTCAGAATACCTCTAAAAGTTTTTTTTTTTTTTTATGTAATTTTCCAATCTCTAGGTATTTTAATTTATCATTTTTAATGTCCTTATTTCAATACATTTTCCATCTATAGAAATTGAACCCAATTATTTATATTAGGTTTAACATAAAATAATATTTACACAATCTTTCATTATAATATAATTTCTTATAAATTTTAATTATATAAAATATTTTTATTAAAACACTAGAAGAATATGTAGCCAGCATTCTTGAATAAAGAAATCTGGACCGTCCAGTGGACAGGTGGAATTCCTTTACTACCATTGGATTTGGCCACACGCGTGTTTGCTCGAACATTTGGAACATTCTCCATTTACACAGCCTAAACAAAACAAGAATTGGTAACTGTCACTTGTATTTCCATCCATTGTTCTTCCTTTTTGTCCTAACTAATCACTCCATTCCTGAAAGTGTTGAGTGTGTATATAACGCATTTTTCAACTGTCTAAGAGAAGAGAAAGAAAATTTAGAAGCATAAATTTTTTCGTATTTAAAAAGCAACTATGAAATGTTCTTTCTCCTTAGTCGTCATGAATGGATCATTTCCACTGTCTATACATTATACACTGTCTTTTCCATCTATACGACATCAAAACTTTCTCTGTCACGCGGCTAATTTTTTTCTTCCAGTTTACACTTTCCACTCCTTTGAAAATTTCCACTTTCACGCCTTCACAATCAACCCTTTACATTTTTCTCGTTCACTTTTGTATCCATATAAGGTTTGATTCATTGATGCGAATCAATCACCTTCTTCTTCTTCAAATTTCCACTGATTTTTCTTTCCATGTTCACATGCTGGCTTTAGGCTATTGTGGGGTTGGTGCAGAAAACCGAATGTGATTTTGGGCTTCACTTGCTTCTTGCTTCTTACAAGTCACAGACAGGAAGTAGCAAGTGCAAGATGGGAAACAATTGTGTCGGGTCAAAAATCTCGGATTATACACTGTTTTGCTGTGTTTTTTCCAGTTCATTGGTGTGGCCTCATCATCATCATCATCAAACGGTGGTCACAGAAATTTCTGATCCAACTTCACTTGTGACTAAAACTAAAGACACAAATACTCCAGAGAATGTTCAGGAAAAGCCTCCACGAGTGGTGAAAATTAACAAAGAGATTATTAACATGCCTTCGGAGCCTGCAATTAAAAAAATACCCCGTAAAGTCAAGAGGGTAGCAATAGGGCTTCGAGAAGAATCAATTTTGAAGAGAAAAAGTGGTCACTTTAAGGAGTACTATAATTTGGGAGAAGAGCTTGGAAAGGGACAATATGGAACAACATTCCTGTGTACTGAGAAAGCAACTGGGAAAAAGTATGCTTGCAAGTCCATTCCAAAAGTGAAACTGCTGATAGATGAAGACGTGGAAGATGTGAGGAGGGAGATTGAGATAATGCATCACTTGGAGGGGTGTCCCAATGTGATATCGATTAAAGGGGCTTTTGAGGATGGTGTTGCAGTTCATGTTGTGATGGAGTTATGTGAAGGGGGTGAACTTTTTGATAGGATTGTGGAAAGGGGGCATTACACAGAGAGAAAAGCAGCTGAACTTGCAAGGACTATAGTTACTATTATAGAAGGTTGCCACTCCCTCGGGGTGATGCATCGTGATCTTAAACCTGAGAATTTTCTTTTTGTTGATGGGAATGAAGAGTCCACACTTAAAGCCATAGATTTTGGAATGTCTGTTTTCTTCAAACCAGGTTTGGATGAAATGTTCGTTTCCTTCCTTTGTCCCTTCCATGAAAATTGGTTTAAAAAATTATAAAAGTATAACTCTAAGACTTTAATATTAAGGCAAGAGCTTAATAAAATGGTGTTTAAGAATACTGTGATATTGTAGAAATCAGTAAAATAAAAACTTCAGATATTATTTGAATTAAAGATATCTATAAACCTTACCTGTCTTTTTTTGTCAGGGATAATGTATCTAAAGTTTACAATTCTTCATGATAACTAAACTCTAATTAATTTGCTTCCCATTAAAATCAATCCACCAGATAGTTTGATATGAGATAGAGCATGCTCCTTCATGCTTCCCCTAATACAATAGAATTAGTTGAAAAAACTAAAACTTTTCTGAAATGTTCTAATTACATGATTTCTATGATTGCTTTTCGCTGACATTGTTCAGTTACAGAGGAAACTTTTAGGGAGGTGGTTGGAAGTCCTTATTATATCGCACCTGAAGTTCTACGAAGGCATTATGGTCCAGAAGCTGATGTGTGGAGTGCAGGTGTAATCATATACATTCTTTTATGTGGAAAACCTCCATTTTGGGGTGGTAAGAGTCCTTCATTAAGATTTCTAGCCCTTCAGTGATTCAATCGTTTTGCATAATTTTGTATTTTGTTTAAGTTTCTGCTGATTCTAAAATTAATTTTCCATGATAATAGAATCTGAGCAAGAGATATTTGAAGAAGTTTTGCATGGTGATCTTGATTTTACTTCAGATCCTTGGCCGAATATCTCTGGAAGTGCTAGAGACTTGGTCAGGAAGATGCTTGTTAGAGATCCTAGAAAACGGATAACAGCACATGAAGTTCTTCGTAAGTTTCTGTCCCAGTATTCCACTTAGATGTTAGTAAATCACATTTCAATACCACATTAGGCATCACATTATACTGTCATGTTTTCTTTAGCATGGACTTGTTCTTATTCTTTTATTAGCTTTCTTTGATCGCATACAATGTTACAGTGAAAATCTTTTAAAAAATCAATGCATGATTTTTCGTCACTGGTTACTGTACTATCACGTCTTTCTAATTTTATCAAACACATTTATAAGAAGGAGTTTCTTAGATTTTGGACAAAAGATTAGGCATTATATCAGACTTTCTGACTAGTGAGTACTAATTGTCATTGTCATAAAAGATCAATGGAGTTGAAGTTATGTTACAACCTTGTAGATGACAACATGCTTATTCTTTGCAGGTCACCCTTGGATTCAAGTCGATGGAGTTGCTCCGGACAAGCTTCTTGATTCTGCGGTTTTGAGTCGCCTGAAGCAGTTTTCTGTAATGAACAAGCTAAAGAAAATGGCTCTTAGAGTAAGAAATCTTTCTAGCGTATAACTCTGCACCATAAATTCTATTAGCAAAGTAGAATATATCAACAAACTTATATTTGAAATTTTCAAGTCGTGTCTTCATACTATTTTCCATGTTGCTCTCTACAGGTTATTGCAGAGAACCTCTCAGAAGAAGAAATTTCTGAACTGAAAGTAGCGTTTAAGATGATAGACACAGACAACAGTGGTCAAATTACTTTAGAAAAGCTCAAGGCTGGATTAAAAATGCTTGGTAATAATCTCAGTGAACCAGAAATTTTGGACCTAATGCAAGCTGTAAGTATTAGTACAGAATCATCTTACAATTTCCTTAATACCACTAAATAAACCTACATTTTTGTCCTTTTTTTCTTTTTTGGCCAAACAATTTCTTTTCATAGTACAGTAGGATTCTTATCGATTTAGGAATTAGGACTCATTATTAAGTAGAACTAAAGAAGTAATCCTATAGGATTTCATAGGTTTTTAAGTTGGCTTAGGTTATGATTAATTTTTCTCCTTCCATTCATTATAATTAGTTTTACAAAGCTCTTTGAGTGTGTCTTAGTGAAACATTCTTATGCAAGTATATAGGGAAAAGTAAAACAGTGAATAACAATCATTTTTAGTAGCACATTGTTATAATCCATCTCCCAATATTGTTTCTGATTGCAGGCAGATGTTGATAACAGTGGCACAATTGACTATAGAGAATTCATAGCTGCAACATTGCATTTAAACAAAGTTCACAGAGAAGATCATTTAGTTGCAGCTTTTTCATTTTTTGATAGAAGTGGAAGCGGCTACATCACTCAAGATGAGCTTCAAAAAGCCTGTGAAGAATTTGGTATTGAGAATGTATGCTTTGAGGAAATGATCCAAGAAGCTGATCAGAATAACGTGAGTACGTTTTACAGTAATGTAACATAATGTTTGGTATCTGATAAAAGAAATCATAATTCTTAAAGAATAGTGTGCTTGAGATTCTACGGAGGTGTAACCCTTATCTGATGGACTAAGTGTAGATTAAATATTGATGGATCTCCTCAAATCTGCCTAAGAACCAACCAGTAAGTAAAAGAACCAAAGGGGTTGGTGACTTGGTGTTCCCTCTGATCAAATTGAAATACTAGGTTTTCCACCAGTTGAATAAAAAGTAAACAAACTAACACTCCAAACATTGCTTTCTTTGCTGTTACGTCATCAGTAGCCTACATAATTCTTTATATATGTTAAACTAAATTTATGCTGTAAAGGTATTCTAAATTTAATTAATCTTTTATGACGTGGTTATGTTCATGTTTTACCCTTTCAGGATGGCCGAATAGACTACGATGAATTCGTGGCTATGATGCTGAAAGGCAATGCAGATTTAGGTATAAACAGGATAAAGGGTGGCACTGATTTTAGCATTGGATTTAGGGAGGCACTATCAGTGTGTTGAGAAAAACTGGAAATTTATGATTTTTCTCCCACTTTATGGTGAAATTAACTTCTTTTGAAAAGCTTAGTGAGGGGCTATTTTACTGTAAAAATGTTTATGACTTAGTTTCGTTTTTCCATGTTTGTATTTGTAAGCTATGGAGGAAAACATTAACTTGGCAATTCTCTGGAGTTCAGACTTGGTGACATGTAAAATTGAGCCAAACCAGCATTTGTTTAATAGTAATGAATGCAGCATTATGGGTAGGACAATTCATATCAAGTTTAACATGAACTGATGAGACTTGATAATGGAGTTGGTGGAGGGAGCTTTTCAAGTGTGCTTGACATGCTTAAAAATTAGGGTTCAGAGGATTGTGATGACTTGCCTAATGTCAAAGATATCACTATCTGAGTTTTATTTTTGTCTCTCCTATGAATGTTTTAGCTATGAATCACAATGTGATATACAGTCTACAAATAGAAAAGGGATAAAGCAATTAAATTCTAAATCTTTGCAATTTAAATAACTGGTAAAAAACACCTCGGTGTTTCTCGGCCTTTCACGTTGAGATCGACGTAGTCGAACATAGAACAATTTGAGGTTCACAGTAAAACAAATTAAGTCGAATTTTGTCAACATTCGACGTTAATCAATTTTTTTGCTTTTTTTAATTAATTGTGATTTTTTTCTACAATTCTACCAAACCTCAAAAGCAGAAAACCAACAAATTTTAGTTTTTGATATTTTATAAAGCATAACTATGAACATGTAGTGTAGTATCAACAATAAACAACAACAACAAACATGTTCAACCAAACAACAACAACAAACAAGTTCAACAAATAAGTTTTTCAAAACGAAAACTAACCTTTAAAAGGTGGGTTCGTCGAAATAAAGTGTTATCACTAGTGAAAGAGAAACCAGAATGCGGCTATAAAGGACAAGAACACGAAAATCATCCGTCAAAACTAACGAAAATCATACATAGAGTAGTTAATTAACATGCATTTGTAACAAATAAAAGAAAGATTTACATGTGATGGTCGTCAAACTTCATTCGAGAAAGTTTGAACAAAGGAGAGGGTATCGCGCGCTAAGATAAAGGGAATGAATTTTCAATCTCTCGCTCAAATTTTTATTGAATTCACTAACATTTAAACGTGTCTGGGGCATTTGGCGTTTTATATTTCTACGAAATTCAACGTCATACATAAATATATTTTCACCTTCGCGCCAAGCATTTTCGCAAAATTTATCCAATATAACAAATTGACATCGAATTATAATTCTAAACCACGTCTAATAAGTACATTTATTTACAAAAATGTCATCGATCATTTTTAACTTTAACTATCTAGTGATTGAACCTTGAACGTGTAATGTTATACGTTATTTTTGTACTAATGATTTTAAAACCGGAAGCTAAAACAAAGTTTAAAGTATGAAAGCCAAGTAGAAGGAAAAGAAAAAGAAAATTTGCAAACTTCCCAAATTTATTCATCCTCGCTCAATCTCTAAACTTGGCCATGGTATTAATGACTCATATCTCATTGAGCTTGTGGATAAGAAACACACCATATTCTATCTCTTTATTCTTCTACCATAATCTAAAAAGATCAAGATTTTGTCATCTTAAACTGATACATCACTTCACTCAACATACCAAATGCAATTATACTGACAATTGTTTGTAGAATTTGGAGAAATACTGAAAACTCCAAAAGATAAAAAATAAAAAGAAGAAAACATTATTATGTGAAAACACTTGACTATTATAAACAAAAATGAGAACAATGAATATTAAATACACGTAACATTTTAATGGGAGCAAAACTCCTGAACTCGTAAGGTGGATTCATTTTAGGTTAATTTGAATGGTAAGAATTATTCACTACATATCTATTCTGGTTTTACAGTGAAAAACATATGACTCGGTTTTTGACTCCTTTTTGTTTGCTTTCGACTATTGCTCAAGCATTTTGACGTGGACAATGTAAGATGGTCTGAACTGGAGTCAGTAGCTTTAATTAGGGTCTCTGAATGTGTTGGGGGTATGCATATGGGTGGCTATATGCTGTTCTTTAAGTCATCATTGCCTCTTGTCTCTTTCTGTCTCTCTTTCTCTCATTTTATGTACAGTGAAAATCTCTCACAGCTACACTCTCTTTTTGGCTTTCAGTAATTGCAAAATTATTTGAGAAGACACACCGAAATCCTTTCGATGTTATTAAAATGGATACAGATTTTTGGACAAATTCAATTGTGGTGGTTTCAATTATATAATGAGAGAAATAATGTGGACATGGCCTTCATGAAAAAAACATGATGGTTTTAATGATAATGCATTCACCATTTCATTATCCAGAAGTTAAGTTCTGGCATATCAACGAGTGGGATTTGGCTGTTTAATTAATCATCAAATTGATTAAGTTAATTAGGTGAAGATTATTATTCTGTTTTCTGTTCAAAGTAGGCCATTCTGTCTTCCAGTGTTTAATGGATTTGGTGACTGTTGTCTATCACCTGGTCAAATATTTCACAGTCCAATCAGATCTATAAGGAATGTTGTCACTACAGTTGTTACTTTCATGGTTAACTATCAAAGTAACTTCACCTAATCAACAACACCCTTTTTTCCTCTCCTCTTTTCTTTTAATATAATAATAATAATAATTAAAAAAAATAACATTATCATAAAATGAGTCCAAGTATTAGGGCACGTGGATGCTGCCTGGAGATTCAATGAATGGAGGTCCACCTGTCGGAGCCAATGCAAACCATAGTGACACGTTTGCGCGTAGAGCGCACGCTCCGATCACACAAATGGCTCGCAGGGTTTAATGGAGTTAAGCACATAATACAACATAAATATTATGAAATGAGTAATGTGATAAATACCCAAAAAAAATCGTATAAACTTTTAAAAACTAAGCGGTGCATTTAGAATATTAAATAATTTTTTCTAATACGTCTATGAAAGATATTATCATCGTGTTTTACTATATTTCCTTTATATTTTTTACCATAGTTTTTAATAAATATTGTTATGACATTCCTTTCTTAGACAGGATATAAGTGTAACTCTACAAGAAGGTGGCTAGATTTGTTCTTGTCTAGAAAGCAACGTAACACCTCCAGCCAAATTCTCATAGGGAAAGAAAACTTAAAGTTTAATATAATCAAACATGCCCTAATTTAATACATTCTATAAATTAATTTAATATTGAATTCGAAGTATTATAATTTAAATATATGAACTGATTATTTTTTTACAGTATTATTTGTATGTTGTATTGATCAGTATTTACTTGGACGTGTGACCCCACCAAATGCATAATCACGACATCATCACATGAAGGCCGGCTAAGAAGATGTCATTCGATGGTTACTTGTCTTTTGCTCCAAAATCTGAATAAAGAGTACAAAAGTTATGAAAACAGTATCACAAATTTTAATATTAACATTTACATCTAACAATTTCGAAGATAAGGAAAAGAAAAAGTGATTGATTAATATTTAGGGTGATATTTTGGTGCTCTCAAAGAAAGGATTTTAGTGACTATTATTTAATCCAATTTTGATCATTTTGTCGTCATTGATGATGACGCGTCAAATGAATCTCTTCCTCCAAAACACAACATACCAACTTATCAAAAATAACAAATCAAGACAAGTTAAGTTCTTCAAACTCGTTAACGCATCCATGAAATCAAAAGTCACATAGGATTTAACAATGTCATCCTTCTTTGTTCTACACACGAAATTGCTAACATAGAAAGAACGTAAATATGATTTTTCACGAAGCGATGTTACGTGGTATGATGAAGTGATACTAGAAGATTATAATTTTTTCAAGAANCTTTTCAAGTGTGCTTGACATGCTTAAAAATTAGGGTTCAGAGGATTGTGATGACTTGCCTAATGTCAAAGATATCACTATCTGAGTTTTATTTTTGTCTCTCCTATGAATGTTTTAGCTATGAATCACAATGTGATATACAGTCTACAAATAGAAAAGGGATAAAGCAATTAAATTCTAAATCTTTGCAATTTAAATAACTGGTAAAAAACACCTCGGTGTTTCTCGGCCTTTCACGTTGAGATCGACGTTGTCGAACATAGAACAATTTGAGGTTCACAGTAAAACAAATTAAGTCGAATTTTGTCAACATTCGACGTTAATCAATTTTTTTGCTTTTTTTAATTAATTGTGATTTTTTTCTACAATTCTACCAAACCTCAAAAGCAGAAAACCAACAAATTTTAGTTTTTGATATTTTATAAAGCATAACTATGAACATGTAGTGTAGTATCAACAATAAACAACAACAACAAACATGTTCAACCAAACAACAACAACAAACAAGTTCAACAAATAAGTTTTTCAAAACGAAAACTAACCTTTAAAAGGTGGGTTCGTCGAAATAAAGTGTTATCACTAGTGAAAGAGAAACCAGAATGCGGCTATAAAGGACAAGAACACGAAAATCATCCGTCAAAACTAACGAAAATCATACATAGAGTAGTTAATTAACATGCATTTGTAACAAATAAAAGAAAGATTTACATGTGATGGTCGTCAAACTTCATTCGAGAAAGTTTGAACAAAGGAGAGGGTATCGCGCGCTAAGATAAAGGGAATGAATTTTCAATCTCTCGCTCAAATTTTTATTGAATTCACTAACATTTAAACGTGTCTGGGGCATTTGGCGTTTTATATTTCTACGAAATTCAACGTCATACATAAATATATTTTCACCTTCGCGCCAAGCATTTTCGCAAAATTTATCCAATATAACAAATTGACATCGAATTATAATTCTAAACCACGTCTAATAAGTACATTTATTTACAAAAATGTCATCGATCATTTTTAACTTTAACTATCTAGTGATTGAACCTTGAACGTGTAATGTTATACGTTATTTTTGTACTAATGATTTTAAAACCGGAAGCTAAAACAAAGTTTAAAGTATGAAAGCCAAGTAGAAGGAAAAGAAAAAGAAAATTTGCAAACTTCCCAAATTTATTCATCCTCGCTCAATCTCTAAACTTGGCCATGGTATTAATGACTCATATCTCATTGAGCTTGTGGATAAGAAACACACCATATTCTATCTCTTTATTCTTCTACCATAATCTAAAAAGATCAAGATTTTGTCATCTTAAACTGATACATCACTTCACTCAACATACCAAATGCAATTATACTGACAATTGTTTGTAGAATTTGGAGAAATACTGAAAACTCCAAAAGATAAAAAATAAAAAGAAGAAAACATTATTATGTGAAAACACTTGACTATTATAAACAAAAATGAGAACAATGAATATTAAATACACGTAACATTTTAATGGGAGCAAAACTCCTGAACTCGTAAGGTGGATTCATTTTAGGTTAATTTGAATGGTAAGAATTATTCACTACATATCTATTCTGGTTTTACAGTGAAAAACATATGACTCGGTTTTTGACTCCTTTTTGTTTGCTTTCGACTATTGCTCAAGCATTTTGACGTGGACAATGTAAGATGGTCTGAACTGGAGTCAGTAGCTTTAATTAGGGTCTCTGAATGTGTTGGGGGTATGCATATGGGTGGCTATATGCTGTTCTTTAAGTCATCATTGCCTCTTGTCTCTTTCTGTCTCTCTTTCTCTCATTTTATGTACAGTGAAAATCTCTCACAGCTACACTCTCTTTTTGGCTTTCAGTAATTGCAAAATTATTTGAGAAGACACACCGAAATCCTTTCGATGTTATTAAAATGGATACAGATTTTTGGACAAATTCAATTGTGGTGGTTTCAATTATATAATGAGAGAAATAATGTGGACATGGCCTTCATGAAAAAAACATGATGGTTTTAATGATAATGCATTCACCATTTCATTATCCAGAAGTTAAGTTCTGGCATATCAACGAGTGGGATTTGGCTGTTTAATTAATCATCAAATTGATTAAGTTAATTAGGTGAAGATTATTATTCTGTTTTCTGTTCAAAGTAGGCCATTCTGTCTTCCAGTGTTTAATGGATTTGGTGACTGTTGTCTATCACCTGGTCAAATATTTCACAGTCCAATCAGATCTATAAGGAATGTTGTCACTACAGTTGTTACTTTCATGGTTAACTATCAAAGTAACTTCACCTAATCAACAACACCCTTTTTTCCTCTCCTCTTTTCTTTTAATATAATAATAATAATAATTAAAAAAAATAACATTATCATAAAATGAGTCCAAGTATTAGGGCACGTGGATGCTGCCTGGAGATTCAATGAATGGAGGTCCACCTGTCGGAGCCAATGCAAGCCATAGTGACACGTTTGCGCGTAGAGCGCACGCTCCGATCACACAAATGGCTCGCAGGGTTTAATGGAGTTAAGCACATAATACAACATAAATATTATGAAATGAGTGATGTGATAAATACCCAAAAAAAATCGTATAAACTTTTAAAAACTAAGCGGTGCATTTAGAATATTAAATAATTTTTTCTAATACGTCTATGAAAGATATTATCATCGTGTTTTACTATATTTCCTTTATATTTTTTACCATAGTTTTTAATAAATATTGTTATGACATTCCTTTCTTAGACAGGATATAAGTGTAACTCTACAAGAAGGTGGCTAGATTTGTTCTTGTCTAGAAAGCAACGTACCACCTCCAGCCAAATTCTCATAGGGAAAGAAAACTTAAAGTTTAATATAATCAAACATGCCCTAATTTAATACATTCTATAAATTAATTTAATATTGAATTCGAAGTATTATAATTTAAATATATGAACTGATTATTTTTTTACAGTATTATTTGTATGTTGTATTGATCAGTATTTACTTGGACGTGTGACCCCACCAAATGCATAATCACGACATCATCACATGAAGGCCGGCTAAGAAGATGTCATTCGATGGTTACTTGTCTTTTGCTCCAAAATCTGAATAAAGAGTACAAAAGTTATGAAAACAGTATCACAAATTTTAATATTAACATTTACATCTAACAATTTCGAAGATAAGGAAAAGAAAAAGTGATTGATTAATATTTAGGGTGATATTTTGGTGCTCTCAAAGAAAGGATTTTAGTGACTATTATTTAATCCAATTTTGATCATTTTGTCGTCATTGATGATGACGCGTCAAATGAATCTCTTCCTCCACAACACAACATACCAACTTATCAAAAATAACAAATCAAGACAAGTTAAGTTCTTCAACTCGTTAACGCATCCATGAAATCAAAAGTCACATAGGATTTAACAATGTCATCCTTCTTTGTTCTACACACGAAATTGCTAACATAGAAAGAACGTAAATATGATTTTTCACGAAGCGATGTTACGTGGTATGATGAAGTGATACTAGAAGATTATAATTTTTTCAAGAAATGTTACTGCGGACTTATAGTCGGTCGATTGGGTATGATGATGTATTGGCTTGAAATGACCGAACGGTCAGGAAATAGTCTCACAATCGCTTGGTCCCAATAACAATTAAAGTATAATTAATGTGATAACGGTTAGTAGTTAAGGTTTGCATTAATGATTATTAAGAGATAAATTAATTTGTCATATTCTTATAAACTCTACAAAAAAAAATTTTAATGTCAGAGGTAAACTCACTTTTGACTTATCATTGAATTACTTTAAACCTAGGAAGAAAGATTCTGATTTGAGCGTAGAAGTGTATTCTGCAGGTCACTCCATACGTCGATTGGTCACACAAAATGAAAAACGGAGAAACGTTCGACAGAGATAGCAACATCACATGTGTGGTCCTCATCCCATTACAACATAAACAAGAAACTTACAGTTCTTACAAAGATTAAAAATGAAAAAGTCAATACTATGAATCTTGGACAGGGTCAAAGAAAGAATTTTTACAGTGAAAGAAGTGGGTTAATTGAATTGTCTTTAGTTTAAAAAAAAAAAGCTAACATCGATTCAAATAAAGAAAAACAATAAACTATTAGAAGGTGATTATTGTTTTAAAGAGAATTCATATGGTTAATGAAACCTGAATGATCCAAATTGAATTGCATACAGCATTGTTATATCATTTGAAATAATTAAACGTTGTATGTTTTTATTAGATTGAAGGGAAAACACATCCCTTCTCTAAAAGACTCCAAACTAAGGTTCTAATCTTTATTTTAGTTTTTGAACGAGTAAAAAGTTATGTATTTATATTTTATTCTTACATTTAGTAAGATTATTTTGTTATTACAATGTTAGAATATAATTGTAAGAATATATAGAAATAAAAATTGTTTATGAAAGAAAGGGAAGAATGCACGTTGTGACAGCTCACGCGCGGTTGGTGGGAGGTGGTGGGGTACTTGTCAAGGTTGGCCTAACGTGCCATGTCATCCCAAAACACTCACTTGTCACCATTCCCATGTTCTCAACCCCTCCAAATTACTTTTCTGCCCTTCTTCCAATCCCCATTATTTCTTCTTATCCAACCTTGTCTATGATCAACATCCAACTAATGCTTAACAATTAACTCATCATTTCTACGCCACAAGAGTTTAAACGAACCCTATGTCTTGTAGGTTGGAATTATGTGTTTGATGAATCCCAATTGAATGTTTTTAGGTAAAAAATTGAGAAGAAAGAAACATGATGGTATTGATTGTAAATCGGGTCAACTTGGTCAGCATTTTGGGGACAGACAGCCACGTACATTTGTCTCTTCCATTATAAAGAAAGCTTTATGGAAGAAGTGATGATGGATTATTAGAATTGAGGTGATTAAGAAAGAAGGAAAGAGGAGTGACAGTTAAACAAGAGAAGAAAAGAAGTTTGCTTGCAGTGACAGTTACTGAGTTAGGGAGGAAGTGGTACAAAAGTCATTGTGTTGTGGCAGTTCTTATTAATCTGTCTATCCCCTTCCTTGAAAGCTCTTCCATTTTTTCTCATTTTCTCTCTCTCATGCACACATCTCCAACTACACCTTTCAAATTCCTCTGCATATCTATCGTACCCTTTAAAACCTCCTCTTCTTCTACTCTCTTCTCTATCTTTTAAGCTATTCAAGCTCAATACTTTACATCTAACTTTCGCTATTGAGGATCGTCTTTCAACTCGACTTCGTTTTTCTAATTGTTAACACCACAATGGAATCTGATAACGGGCTTGCTGTGGAGGAAGAGAAACGTGTTATCGGAGTAACAACCAAGGTGGAGAATATAAAGAAAGAAGATGAAAAGGACTGTAACGGTGCAGAAATTCAGACCAAGAAGGAAGTATCTAAACCCATTTCTGCTGCAAATAAAAATTCAAAAGGTGCCACTAAGGTATCATACAAAACGTATCTGAATTATTGTTTTTAGTTACATTACAAAACAACACGTAATGCACAGTAGAAGGGTCTTACTAATTAAGTTAACGTGGTTAGGAAACTGGTGGCAGAGCAAGTGTTGCTTCCAAGAGCAACAAATATGCCAAAGATAATTTGAAGGGTCTGAGTTCAATAGCTCAAAAACAAAGACCATCACTTTCCCAAAGCATTTCTTTCCCAGCCAGATCATCTCGGGAAGATGCTATGCAGAAAAGCATTGATGGGTATATTCTGAAGACAAAAGTTAAACACGTTCAAGGTTATGGGATTAGAGCTGAAGCCCCCATTCGTCATTTAAACAACCCCACAAACTCACTTGCCAAAACCCACGCTGCCATGCCTACTTTGAAACGCTCTGCGGTAGACATTTTCAATTCCTTTGCATAATTCCATTACCTCTTATCATTGGTTTCTATGTTCGTGACTTTAGTAATGTCTAACAGTTTGGAAGGACTACTACAGTTACTCCGGCCACCAAGAGCCAAATTTCTGAGACATCGTTGTAAGTAGCAACCAACCTCACAATATTTACTAAATCCTTCTATACGTTTTTGTTTCAGTCTTAAGGTTTATAGTGTTGCTATCAATAATTTTCAGTTTGAGGTAACTCAATTCTTGTGCATGTGTTGGAAAATTTATGTTCGGGAGATTGCTGAATGGAATCATGAAAATATCACGTTATGGTTTTTACATTATTGCAGACTTGTTGATCATGTGTCAAACAGGGCAAAGTCTGGAAAACCAAATAAAGATGATGATGATTGCCATTCAGCAACTTCGTATGATTTATAACATATTGTCATCCTTTCTCTTCTTTTTCTTAAAGGATTTGAGATCTCTCAATTCTAAACTGGCTTCCTTTTTTCTTCTACTTTAGCTAAAATGTTGTGAAAACTTTGTATACATGTGTTGTCAGAAGTGCTACTCCTCGTCTGAGAAGCAGTGGAGTTGGATTTTCCTTTCGATTGGAAGAAAGAGCTGAAAAGCGAAAGGAGGTAGTTTTGCTTAAACCTTGCACCCTGTTGATGTTATATTAGCAATGCCAGAACCAGATGTTTATCCTAATTTATGCCTTTGTACTCAGTTTTTCTCAAAGTTGGAGGAAAAAACTCTAGCCAAGGAAGCAGAGAAAACTAACCTACAAGCAAAATCAAAGGTATATCATCACAATAATTTAGCATGCACATTGTCGTTTAGGTTTTCAGTAAAAGCTTATCAGCTGCTTTAAGCTTATTGTCTCCTCACCATGTTTTGTTCTGAATTCCCCAGGAAAACCAAGAGGCAGAGATCAAACTATTGAGGAAGAGCCTGACATTCAAAGCCACTCCAATGCCAAATTTCTACAAGGAACCACCTCCAAAAGTTGAGCTTAAGAAGGTAGCTAATATAAACTTAATTTCCAATTGGATTATGCAATGTTTCCCTACACTCATAATCAATGATCTGTCTTTTATCCTTAATCTTTCTTTGGTAATAGATTCTTTCAAGGGGCTTGATCTTTTGACATTCTTTGTTTGTTTCTTTACGCATATATTCTGATGTATTCGATGAACCATTAGATACCAACAACACGCCCAAAATCCCCAAAGCTTGGAAGGCACAAGGAACCTACAATGAACAACAATTCAGGAGAAGATAAGTGTTGCTCAAGTCCGCGTGGGAAACAACAGCAAAATGATTCAAACAAGGGTAAGGGTCATAAGGATGTGATTTCAAAGAAACAAATCCCAAAAACCCACTCCAAGCTGAAGTCTGAGGAAAATGTAACCACAGAAAACAAAGAATTCCAAGTTCCAGATGACAACAATTCTGAATGCAAAAATGACATGGAGTTACAATGTGAACCAGGTCATGCATCAAATACTGCACTGCTTCTAAATTCGACTACGAAGGAGCTTGTGTCGTATGAGGTTATTGTTGGAGTGTAGATTTATATCATCGGACTTTATAATTATGTAAGATTAGAGTTCTATGTTGTTAATTATTTCTTTTATCATTGTGAATACAGAGGTTGGTTCATGTTCATCATAAACGACTATTATTCCAAATAAGAGTTGCTCTTTTTGTCATGTACATTAAAATGCCTTGTTAATTCATTCTTCACAAAGTCATTAGGGTATTTAACAGATAAAATTGTCTCTTATTCTTCAATTGAAAAATGACACTGGAAAAATAATTTCTTTCTTCTGTATGACAATTTTTTTAATAGCTGTAGTTTTTTTGGTTTAATAGCATTGATGGTCTCTATTTTCGTTAAATTTGTTTTAAATGGTCCTAGTTTTTTTTCTGTTCAATGTGTCCTAAAAAAATGTAATTTATATTCAATTTTAGTCCTTTTTGCATACGGCATTTTAATTGTTAATGGCACACTATCCAGTTGTGCAATAAGTGAATGTCATGTCATTTAACCTTGACTGAAACATGACACAGCCAATGAGGAACTGCCACGTGGCATCCCCCTTCCCCACCCACAAAATTAGGGTTTCTGAATGCAAGGGAGAAAGGCTTCCTTACTCCTGCGCCGGTAGAGGAAAACTGAAGCTTGTGATGGTCCAAATGACCATAGTGGGTCTGTCGGAGTTTAGCATAAATGAGAGCAAACTCCTTTCTCGTGGCGTGGTGAGGGTTGCAGCGGCGGCACCTCCGCGAAGGTTCAGTCTCCGACGTAGTCGCGATGCGAGAAGCTCACCGTTCTCAGGCGGTTTCGTGGCAATAGGAATCACGATTGAGGATTTCGATTTGGGGGTTTTTGTTGTGTTATCTGGTTTTTCTAAATTAGAATATTTGATTTTCGTTTCAAATTTGATTTGGGGATTTCTTGGTTCTTCTCTGTTTTGCGAATGGTTAGAGATTCTATTCTTCCCTATAGGTCTGGATTTTGCGAAGTGGGAGATGAGGGTTCAGATTGGGAATGTTAGACTTTTCTGAACTTGGAATTTTCTTTTGGAGTATGTATCTGATTTGTTCTTTGGAAGGATGTAGGTTATGGTGATCACGATTAACGGTGGTCCTTTCTTGATCTTTTTCCATGAATTTGTTTTTTCATTTTGGATTCATTTGATTCGCGATAATGGGTTCTGTGGTGGTTGTTGTTGGATGCATGGGTGGCGCCAATGAAGGTGCTGGTAGGTGGCCATGGGTGGTGTTTTTGGGTGGTTGTTGGACAGAGAAGATGATAGAGGTGCGAAGATGGTGGCTGGCCGTGACCGTGGCAGTTAGGGTTAGGTGGTGGCTAGGGTTTTTGTGTAGGAGAAATTAGGATTTTTGGAGGTAGGAGATGATGTGTCAAGGGTGATGTGTCATTGATTGTACAGCTGAACAATTGCAAAAAGGACTAAATTAAAATTACATTTTTTATAACAATATTGAACATAAAAAAAACTATAACCATTTTGAACAAACGTGATGAAAATAGGGACCATTAGTTCTATTAAGTTTTTTTTAAAAAAAACAAAACATTGCACTAGAGGCAATTGATTTTCTTCACGTTGACTTTATGACTAGAGTAAGGTGTGTAAGGGCATGATAAACTTTTCATTGATATTTTTAAGAGAAAAATTAAAAGAAAAATAAATTAAATATCTTTACAAATTAAAGTTAGTTATATGTCAATCAAAAGATATTCTTAAAAAATGCTAACGGGAGAAAAATTTTATGTGGTTTATACATAAACTAATTTCAAGAAAAACAAATTTTAAAAAAATTACTTTTTATTTTTCTCTTGTATTTACCTAAACAGATAATGGCTTTAGAAAGAAGCTTTTGATAAATTGTCTATAACTAGATTTTTCCATCCCCTTCCACACATTTGCCAAAACTCATTTTCATTAATTTGAGTTCAAATTATTTCTATTTTAACTTTAAAATCTCAGATTCGTACAAAACAACATGAATTTTAGTAAATATATTTATTAAAAATATAATATATTTAAAATTAATATATACTTTTATACAAAATAATAAAAATTATTACGAGAGTAAATATTAAATCAATAAAATAAGATAAATTTTCTATATAAGTACTAATTTTAAAAAATAAACGGCGGAGATCATCACACTTGACTATCTGAAGTACTGAATGAGATCCTATCCTTCAATTAATATTATTTTAAAAATATTTAAATTTGACAGATAAATAATACATCTTTTTAAGTATGTAAAATATCAATTAGTAACAGCAGGACAAAAAAGACTGTTGCTTCTTACACCACCATCATATTTCTTCCTCCACCCCATCAAAACCCCTTCGGGAAAATAATTTGCGTAAAATAGGACAGGATAATTGCTTTCTAGCAAAAAATTATGATAAACTGGATTGAAATTTCAATTTGTATTTAGTTATTGGGCTCAACAATAGTAGCGGCCCATACTATCATTAGTGGGTCAAATGAAATAAATAAGGGTGTTGCTCTCTCCACCACCACACCTTTCTTCCTCCACCTTCCCAATTTATTTTAATTCCAATTATATCCTCAGATTAAAATTTTTTACTTTTACTATTTTAATTTATTTCAAATCTAGTTCTCCTACTTTACTCCTGCACCCAATCTTTCCATTTCTCATTTTCGTTTAATAATTTGTCTATTTGTCTTTCGTTTTACTCTGCAACCCAATCTGTCTTCTCTGTTTCACTTCTCCTCCTCCGTTTCTTTCTTCTTCATTTTCTTTACATTATTAAAATACATTAAAAATATATTCAAAAATAATAAATCAAAACATTTAAATTAAATTATTAAAATATTTTCAAAATAAAGAATAAACTAATAAAAGAAACCCTAAAATGAAAAACGTAACTTTTAAACGGAGGTGACATCCTTCAATGGATGTCAACATCCGTTTAAGGAAAAACGGATGTCGACATCCATTTTACCTTAAACGGATGTTGACATCCGTTGAAGGATTTTGACATCCGTTGAAGGATTTTGACATCCGTTGAAGGATTTTGACATCCGTTGAAGGATTTTGACATCCGTTGAAGGATTTTGACATCCGTTGAAGGATTTTGACATCCGTTGAAGGATTTTGACATCCGTTGAAGGATTTTGACATCCGTTGAAGGATTTTGACATCTGTTGAAGGATGTCTTAAAGGTTACGTTTTTTATTTTAGGGTTTTATTTGAATACGCACCTTGAGGAAGCAACACACTGCACCACTCCACACACTACACTACGAGAGCGACACTGCACCACGAGAGGGAGACAACTTGTAAAAGAAAGAGAGGAAGAAATATAATGTTAAAATGAAAGAAAAAAATTTTACTCATGTACGGGACACTAGAATAGGTTATTAGTGGAATAGGTTGTGAATGGGTAAAATTAAAAAATAACCCTAAAAATAAAATTTTACTTAGGAGCAAAATAGTAAATTGGAGGTGGAGGGAGAAAGGTGTGGTGGTGGAGGGAGCAACACCCAATAAATAAACTTTATTTTGGACCAGATTTTTGTGTTCTTAAATATTTTTTTTTTTAAGAACAAAGAAAATTAAAGTAGTGTGAAGTTTTTAATGACAATATTTTATGTTTGTTTCTTGTTTTTTATTTGGAGCTTTGTGGTACAAGTTCAGTGAGAAGACATTATTGACGTAAAAAGGGTTAGTTGGTATAACTTTTACAACTGTTATTTTGAGAGTTAAAAAATTTATCATGTGGTTATTTGTGATTGAATGATAATGTAAAGCTATTATTTTGTGTTTTATATTTTATATCCCTCTCTTGTTTTAATATCTTATATATATATATATTAGTGAAATAATTTTGTATTTTAGAGTAAGGCGGGTGATATTTTTTATGAAAAAGTTGTATAGCTATCACATACTTCTATTAATTTTCTTATGTATATTGTTGAAAGTATCCTTTATAATTATTAATTGCTTTTAGTTTGAAATGATATAACACACAAAAAAATTAAAAAAAAACATCAAGATACTATTTTATTTATTTTTTATGTATTATTTAAAATATTAAGAATTATAGTTTATAGTGGTTAATAGATCCAACACCCAAAATATTTTGTCGTCCGCAATATGGTTGAGGAAAAACTTTTGAAACCCTCATGGTAACTACAATAAACAAGATAAGCAACCTAGAACCAGAGGATACCGTTAATGATCAGATGAACCTGAATGAAATGATGAGGAGAATACAAAAACAAATGGATGAGATGCTGAGAAAATATGATGAAGAAATAAAAACACTACGAGTCGAGAACAAGATCATTTGGCAAGAGAAGGGTGGTAAAGGTCATGTCCCGTAAGATGACCATCTTCAAGGAAGCCTGATCGATGGCACATGAGAAACGTAGGCTGGGAGGGCAGAGGAGAAAAATATCATAGGTTGAGGTCAAGAAGTTGCGGGAAGCAGGTTCATCTGGGAGGTCAAGTAGACAATTTGGCTTTCTAATGTGTACTGATTTCATTAACCTAAACAAAGCATATCTCAAGGATGCATACTTTCTCCCAACATTGATCGGCTAATGGATGAAGTCTCAAACCATCAGGTGCTAAACTTTCTAGATGCTTATTTGGGGAATAATCATATCTGCTTGTTTCACCCAATTAAAGAGAAAATTGTGTTCTTCATCAAGTAGGCCAATTATTATTATTATAAGGTAACGTCGTTTGGTTTAAAGAAAGTAGTGACCACTTATCAGCGCCTTATGGACAAGGTCTTCCAAGACCAAATAGGCAGAAGATGGAGGTATACGATTTTGATCGGCAATCATACGAAGGATCTAGTCGAGATTTTCTATCAAATTTGAATATACATCATGTCTCCAAACCCAATCAAGTGCATGCTCAACGTACGGGCGAAAAAGTTTCTCATATTCATATTGACCGCTTAGGACATAGAGGCCAATCCAAAAAAGTGTGACACCTTAATAGCCTTCCCATTATGTCCCGATCGGTAGATGGTGAAGAGGTGAAATTGTACCTATCTGTATCAAACGAGGTCATCACTACAATGCTCAGGCAAGAAAACCTTGAGCAAAGGCGTATATACTTCATCAATCAGGTGTTACAAGATGTTGAAACCCGGTATCATAAGAAGGTTGATATGACATTGCTAACTA